TGAACTGGTTGACAGATCCAGCATTGAGGTGACCTTCAGAGGACCACATGGCGTTGAAGGTAAGCTGCTTAACACATCCAGGTATAATGTTCGCTGGTCACTAAGTTTATGGATACGAAAGATGTGTTAAACCTTATGGCCTACCCTCCAAAAAGTGAACATTATCAATATTACCAGTATTTTGTGATGGTGCATTTCCTTGCTTTTGTATCATCAGTAGGTGAACATCTGTAATTTTACAAAATACTTCAATCTATATATTGCACAACAGTACCTAATTCTTGGGGCTTATTGCGGCTTGCGCACACACCTTGTGCCCCAACAATGAGAATGAATGCATTTTAGTTGTGGTTGCTGTTGTGATTGTGTCGTTTGATTGTGTTGCCTGAGCCCACCCCTGGCGGGCGACCCGCGGCAGAGCTCGGCCCGCCGGACAGAGCCTGGGACTGCCTTTGCACCGCCCGGGGCGGTGGCCGGCCAGTCGGCTGCGGGACTGCGGTTTCGGGGTGGACCAGTCTGTGTCAAGACCCTGCATTGTGCGCGTATCCCATACAGCCGAAGATTAACCTGTTCTTTTTGGGCGAAACCGACACAGGACGTGCCTACCAGCATACCAAGGTTGAGTGCAATTGGTCTAGCAATTGCTGAGTAATTTTAATTGTAATAAACTTGACACCTCCTAATTTTTCTCGTGACACATGCAGTACGTAACCCTCATGCATTACAAAGACTTTGATCCCTGGTAGAGGGAATGAATCTACCTTACCAAAATAAGTCAATCGGCCTTGTTGCTGAGATAAAGGCCTGTCGAAATCGGTAGTTTAGCGGAACAGCTATGGAACCCTGACTTGGCATGTAACATGCCACGGTGATCACTTATATGCATGAAAAATAATTAATTACGGAGTGGAAGGGATGGAGCGGAACTATCCAACAAAAAGACATCGGGATGCTGAGATTAAGTCCCTCAAAAGTGTTACAGATCAGGCTTGGCCGGGCGGCTTATGCTGATATTTTTCTGTTACATGGGAAAGACTCGCTCCGCGATTCGCTTTCGCTCGTGATTAGGCATCGTTAGGCGGATTTTCTGAGTCTCTCAATCGCCGTTTAAATTAGGAAATTGGTTCAGTTTTACACGGGCGTAGGAACGTCATGAAAAGTGGGTGGGCCACCCTGTCAAGGGGCCTCCTTTTCCAGGGGGCCTCCTATTTTCAGGGGCCTCCAACTTTTGCCTCGTCCTGCTGGCTGCTTTCAAGTATGACCTCCAAATCTAGGAGGTGAGCTCGGGCAGATGTACCCAGGGGCGTAACCGCTTAACCCGGCCGGGCCCGGGGGGTAATCCCAACCACCGCAGCCCGGGGGGGGGCGTTTTTCGCCCCCCCCCCTGTCTAGCTCCGTAAATAAGGGAGCTACGGAAACAAAAGCGATACCAAACGAAAGGTCCTTACGAGACGATTCTGAAGCACCTAAAATTTTTGACCTCAGGTCAATTTTCAAGGTCAGAGGTCAAGGTCAAAGGCAAAAACCGGCACATGTGTAGTGATCTCAAAGTAAGCCTTCTAGAAGACGGCAGGCGGCATCAAACCGGCAAAATTGGGTGTCAAACGAAAGAAGAGACTCTGAGGATTCTGAAAATGTGCTCAAAGTGAAAGGTCAAGGTCAAGGTCACGCTCAAAGTTGACCTCAAACTTGGCACTTTTTCGCACATCTTGCGTGCTAACTTCCAAGATGTTTTGAAATGTTTTGAGGCTTATCAGTTCCCTATTTTTGGTTCATCTTACGATACAAGGCTGCTCAAAGGTCAAGGTCACTGAAGAGTATCCCTGCTAGAGGCTATTTCACTAATTCAAGCTAGTAATAATAAATAAGACAATTTTTTTCATCCGGAAGCTCTAAATGAAGGTTTAGAGGAAAATAGATGCCAGATTCGTGATCAGCGGGTACAAATCCATCATAAACAACCTTTCATGTGTCAAGTTCAACCAGAGGTCATTCGAGGTCACATGAGGTCAACATAAAACTTGACCTTTTCCGAACAAAATATATATCATTCGACGCGGCTTGACAAGCCGAATGCGATGGTACCACTGCCGTAGCTCTAGGACCATTTTTGTCGAAGTTATTTGCGAAAAACTAAAACCACATTTCGGGGTCGTTGACCTGACCTCTGACCTCTGGTCACCAAAACTAGTTTTCTATTTTTCTCTAGGTCAAACGCTACACAACCGTGCTCGTAATTTGTCTTTATCTCTAAAACTCTATTTTTAGCAGCTATTTGAAGTTTGCGTCTGTGACGCCGAAGTTTGCCGTGCAGGGGTCTAGCAAAATGGACCTTGTGACGTCATCAAGGGGGCTAGGTCCAAATTTTTTACTTCAGAAGATGTCAAATTGATGGGAGAAAAGGTACTGAAAGTTTCGCTTTCCTATGCCTAAGCGTTCGGGAGCTATCGCAGATATTCGCCAGGGGGGGGGGGGCGAAAAACGCCCCCCCGGGCCCGCGAGGGTTAAGCGAACAGTGCGGAAAGTCCGCGCACCATTTTTAAAACTTATTCCCCCTCCGATTTTTTTTAGAATCTATTTGCCGCAAACGGCGCATGACCCCTGAAAACCCTTACACAAATGTCTTCCTCGTTTCCCAGGTGCCCCCATTAGCTTCATAGGCGCCCTCTTTGGCATATAAGCGCCCTATGTATACTTAGTCATCAGAGACATCCCTATATGTCCCACAGTCGCCCCGTTATCGCATACAATGTGCGCTTATCATAGACGTCTCTCTTTTATGGACACTTGAAGGCGCCTCTCTTTGCCATGCCGGCGCTCCTGTTTCTTATGAATGCACCCCCAGGCCCCATGGCATTGATCAATTGCAGTCTGCAGATCTCTATTGCATGTGGACACCCATATATGTAGGCTTCAGAGGCGCCCCTCTTTCGCATTGAGGCGCCCCTATGGGCTTCATAGGCGCCCCTCTATTGCACGTAGGTGCCCTACTGTCTCAGAACCGCTCCCCTTTGGCATGCAGACGCCCATCTTTCGTACGGAGGAGCCGCTGTGGTTCTTAGAGATTAGACTTAGAGGTGCTCCCAGACGCAGATGGGGCTCTCGGAGTCGACAGTGTGGGACCTTCAGTCGCTGATGGGTGCCCGCCAGATGTGGACCCTCGGAGACGCCGGTATGGGGCCCTCAGAGATGCCGGTATGTGGCCTTTAGAGACATCGGTGTGGAACCCTCAGATACTTCAGTGTGAAGCTCTTACAATTGCTGGTGTGGAGCTATGAATGCGCTGGCTTAAATCGCTCAGAGGCCGGTACCTACATGGACATTAGAGCTCAGTGAGAGCTTGTGGGGTGCCTTCAGTGGCCTTGTGGAGCCGTTGGACATCAACATGGTGCTCTCAGGAGCCGGTGAGTCCTCGGAGTCACTGGGGGCCTTCAGAGCTCCGAGATACTGGTGTGGGGCCCTCAGAGGTGTCGGTGTGGGTCCTTCAAATGTACGTACCTATAGAGCCTTGAGATGCACAGGTGCGGTGGCCCACAGAGGCGCCGGTGTGGGGCCCCCAGAGCCACCGATATAGGGCCCTAAGAGACACTAGTATGACCCTCAAAGGCGCCGCTGTGTGGCGCTCATAAACACTGGCGTGGAGCCATCACAGGCGGGTGGAGCCGTTAGAGGCCGGAAAGGGCCCTTAGATGCCTACAAGGAGCCTTCAGAAGCCGGCGTGGCATCCTTATGGGGATAAGCGTGTCTACTTAGGAGCCCTTGAGGTGCTCTCATGAGCTCTGTGGGGCCCTACTGAGCCGTAATATGGCCACGGCCAGTTGCCGCCGCATGGCTCTTCGGACTATCATTCTCAGGGGCCTCATCTGCCTAGTTTGAATAGAAAAGCCTCTCAGACCATCAGTCTCATGGGCCTCCTCTGGCTAGTATAAATAGAAGGACCTGTTAGACCATCAATCCTAGGGGCCTCCTCTGGTAAGTATAAATAGAAGAGCCTCTCAGACCATTAATCTCAGGGGGCTCCTGTGGACAGTATAAATAAAAGGGCCTCTCAGACCATCAGTCTCGGGGGCCTCCCTAGAAAAGTGTAAATGTGGATAGAGGGCCCCCTCAGATTCATTAGGAGTGGACCTCTCTGACTATCAGTCTCAGGGGCCTCTTGTGGCCAGTATGAATATAAGAGCCTCTCAGACCATCGGTCTCAGGGGCCTCTTCTGACTAGTTAGTGTGGATAGAGGGCCCTCCCAGACCACCGCTTTCAGGGGCCTCCAGTGGCCAGTTATATGAACAGAAGGGCCTCACAGCCATCAACCTCAGGGGCCTCTTCTGACTGGTGTGAATATGAGGGCCTCTCATACCATCAGTCTCAGGGGCCTCCTCTGCCTAGTGTGAATATAAGGGCTTCCCAGGCCATCAGTCTCAGGGGACTCTTCTGGCTGGTGCCGGATTGAGGGACCTCCTAGACCGAAAGTTTTGGGGGTCTCCTCTGGCCAGTATGAATAGAAGGGCCTCTCAGTCCATCAGTCTCATGGGCCTCTTCTGCCTGGTGTGATTATAAGGGCCTCTCAGGTCATCAGTCTCAGGGGCCTCCTCTGACTAGTGTAGATGGATAGGCCTCCCAGACCATCAATCTCAGGGGCCTCATCTGACTATTGAGGATAGAGGGGCCTCCTCTGACTAGTGAGGGTAGGGGGCCTCGGCTAGACCGCCAGTGTCAGGGGCCTATTCTGACTAGTGTGGATGGAGGGGCCTCCCAGACCACCAGTCTCAGACATCTGACTAGTGCGGATAGAGGGGCCTCCCAGACTGCCAGTGTCAGGGGCCTCCCCAGACCAGTGTGGATATTGGGGCCTCCTCAGATCCACTAGGGCCTCTCAGGCCATCAGTCTCAGGGGCTTCGACTGACAAGTATGAACAGAGGGCCTCCTTGGATCCATCACGGCCCCTTGGAGTCCGTGCGTGGGGATTCGTGGAACTTATTTTTACGGAGTTTGTTTATTCTGGACGGTGACGACGTCCTCTCAAATCGAGACGAGGGGCCTCGAGTAAAAAGTGGGTGGGCCAAAACACATGGTTGGCCCCCCCACCTCGAAAAGTGGGTGGGCACTTGCCCACCTGGCCCCCCCTGTTCCTACGCCTATGCAGTTTTATACACTGGCACCTTGTTTTCTGGATGTTCAGTGTTGTGTTTTCTTGAAAGGGTCGTGGTGGGTAGAGAGTAATTGATTGTTTGTTTTCTCTTTTTTCTTATTTTCTCCGCTCGGGCTGTGTCTCGTCCGTGACGTGTTTGTGTTTGCACCGGCAGGAGTCGAGGATCGTCGTGTGGAACAGCTCGTGCGTTCCACCTTGGAGCAGTGCGTGTTCGCCGCTCTGCACCCCCGCACTGCCGTCAGCGTGGTGCTCAATGTCCTGGAGACCGATGATCTGGTGAGAAGCCTGATGTCGGTAGACTGAGTCCGAACTCCGATCATCAGCCAGCGTTGTAATTTATTGTCTGATATTTGCATTTTTTTTTCTGACAAGATTCATAAACTCATTTCCAACTTTCATTAATGATCGGCGTTTCGTCTCGTCGCAATGAGTTACTGCCGATGTCTAATTATAACTCTGCGGCGTCCTAGCCTGCTGAACATGCGCGCCCTGTTGTCTCAACCATCGCCCTCACGGCATCGTGTGCCCTTCCTCGGGCAGCTGCTGCTCTCGACATGTGTGAACGCCGCCGTGCTGGCGCTGCTCGACTCGTCGCTCTCGATGAAGTACCTGCCGGCAGCGGTGACGTGCGTGCCCGTCGGCGATCGGGTGCTGGTGAATCCGCTGCCATCCGAGCGACAGGTTAGTCCCGAGCCGACCCCCGGACCTCACCCTGGTTATTGTCCGTTCGAATGGCTGGAGGGAATCTCAATTCTGCTGGACGATCGCGGTGCGGTTACTGGTTGCATCATGCTAGGAGTTCCCGTGGTTAGATGGAAAAAGCTTCTTTTCAATGTTTGGGCTCGTTAATTAAAAAGTTACGTTGCAGCATTTGCACATGCATGGGCACGCTTTCTCCCTGACCACCTTTGCAGTAACATAGTTTGGGTCGGTCTCGGTTGCATTATCACATTGGCAGCATCGCTCTTTCAACAGCACGTCCACATAGCTTTCGTATTTGAGGTATCTGTAAACATCTACATCGACCACTACCTACCTCCCACCGCTGCACCGCTATCAGCCATCCTTACGGCCCGACCTGTGTAACGCGCGGTACGCTCTCCGCTCGGCAGGGGAGCAGCGGCGGCTCTGTGACGGCCGTCTACGATACGGGTTCTGAGCGGCTGGTGGCGTGTCGCACCGCCGGACAGCTGTCGGCCGAGCAGCTGACCAGCTGTCTGCGCGAGGCCCGCCGCGCCGCCGCGCTGGTGCGCCAGCTCTACCGGCGCGCCGTGGCTGCCAAATTCAGCAAGGAGCCGCGCGACCCGTGGGCGGGTCCGTCGCGTGCCGAGGACATGCCACCGTCATGGCGGCGACTGGGCGGGCAGCAGGCGGGAGAACAGTCAACGTCGTGAATAGGAGATAGCCTGCTGTGGTCTTGTGCGGTACGAGCAGAGCACCGTGAGCATACCATTTGTTCGTGTGGTGCTGTGAGACTGAATTGAGACCGTCCGACTTCCGTCGGCCGCTCGATAGTTACCGACGCTGATACTGACGTAAGTGACAGGGTGATCGGCAGAAACACTGCCGGACAGAACAGACGGCTGCTGACGTATTACCGTGGTGGACACGCGGTTGGTGATCGCACCGCTTCATTAAACAGTGCTGCTTATTCATCGAAAACATATTCGTAGCGATAGCTTGGATGGCGAGGAGGCACCGTGAATAAAGATGATAACCATGAATCCGGTTTGAGGCCTTCTTAGTTTTAGATAAATTCGGCTCGTTGTACAGAATTCTATAGCATTGCGTGGAACATCGGAGGTCTGGGATGGGTCATGAAATAAGTTTTTATTATTATTTTTTTAGTTGCCTCATCTTAATTCAATTAGACCCCGAATACACAGACATCCGGGCCGCGGGCGGTGTTTCACCGACGCTGCCAGCAGTTGGCCTTCCATGGATTGGGAAACACCAACAAGCCCCATAGCACCATTTACCACAAGTGTGACGTCGGCTCGCGAAATGCGCTGCGACGACCGTGAAACATCGTCCTGTTCGGGATCGATTGCGCTAACGCTATCGCAGAATCAGTTTCTATGACGACCAGCGAAGGTAGTCAACGCTAACGCGTCAATGCCCAATGGTGTAAGATAGTTACAAAAACATGAATAGCGAATCTGTTGGCTACTGAATTCCATTTCTCAAATAACAACAGACATCAACATGGAACGTCTCAAGTTCAAAAACTAAAAGCTTTTCCATAGGGCAGAGCAAGGAGCAGAGCTCATCCAACGTGCTGGTTCTGCTAACGAACAGAGATTGAGATTCGGGACCGGAGTTGGCGGAGGTCGGCGGAGGTAGGCGAGAAGGGTGAGCTAATTCTTTTATTTTTAGCTGACTTCTCATTTGTAATAACTGTCTGTGTGATATGTAAACGACCGAATAAATCTCGTCATATATCAATATAGTCAGTCTGGCTGCCAGGCACCAGCACTATCAAGTAGATTTACTACCTACCTACGTTTTCATGGCGCAAGTTAGCTTGAAATTTTGCGAAATGTTTTTTTTCTCCATCATGTCATTTAGACATCATTGAAAATTGTAAGTATAGGAATTATAGGATAAGGCTGAAGCCATATTTACGCTCATTTTTGCATAAGGTGAATAGTATCCAAAAAAATGCATGCGAAATTCAGTTCAATCCATTTGGATGTGTCGAGAAAACATAGTGATTGTCAACTCATTTCTGGCTGGATAAACATTGATGCTAATTTTGATATGATTTTAAGGATGTGAAAAATTTTGTTATGGTTAATTGCTGAAAGTTTGTCAGTTGGATTTCTATTGAATTACCCCATCAGCCATCGCTTTCTGTTTTCGAAACATAGCGTGCATTTTAAAAAGAGCATTTTGGAGCTAAAGCAAATTGACTATTTTTGCACTTAGCTTTGGTTTTTGGGTTTGGAATGTTGAAAATTTCAGCTTTACCTGTTGCAGTAGCATAAGAATATCTTGTGCATCATGCTTGGGCTCAATCATTTCTAGCTGACTGCTGAGTAACTATGTTTCATTGTTATTCTAGCTGCTTCATTCAATTCAAAGTCAAAATATATGGCAATTGTGAGTTGGTACCTGGGTACCTTGAACAAAATGACAATCTGGTGGGGTCTTATGGCTTTGGACCATATGAGGTTCCCATATATGGGGCCTTGTGGGGCTCATGTGTGACCCCAGACCCTGTCCCTGGTAGGTATAGTCTCTCTTGAAAGTATCGCGACCCTGAGCGAAGGCGCCACCTGTTCCAGCCGCCGTTGGGCGGAAAAGTTTGAGAGCCGCTGGTAGCACTGACCGATTGACCGAAGCCTGGCACGCAGAGTCAGCCAGCGCGAGCGCGGCGGGGCGAGCTTGGGGAGTGGTTGCGGCCTGCGGGGGGATAGGGGAAGGTAGCAGTCGCCGTCCGGTAACTTGTGATGGCAGCAGGCATGTGATCAACGGAAGCTACCCTATTCGCAGAGATTTTGTTGAGATTTGCTTGGTTGCAAAGTTAAGAATTTGACCCGTCATCGGCACGACTGTCACAGGTTCTTGGTAAAATCCAGAAACCCATGCCTGAATACGAAAAAAATCATCAGTTGCGCCCGCTAACATAATGCATCCGTGGTTGCATATGCACCCGCGAGCGGATTCAAATCACAAAAAAAATCTTTCTCTAGCCAATTAGTCCCATAATTGAAGTTCTCTTTTTTAACCCGCGCCCCGTAGGGCTACCGGCGGACCCTACCACCCGTAGGGGGGGGGGGGGGGGGGCGTTTCGGCCCCCCCCCTAAGATCTCGGAAAGTTACCGGTCGATTTTCAAAATTCAAACGGCGTTCGATAGCCCCACCCGGGAACTACCTTGTGACCAAATTTCATTGACCTAGGTCAAACCGATGACGTCACAGGTCAGGTCAAAGGTCAGATTTTCACCGTTCACAGGCAATTCAAGAAATGTGCTGTGAAAGCGAGTAAATTGGTAATTTATTGAAAACCATCGATGGTACATTGTTCGTCAAATACATACTTTGCTATCTGAGGTCACTGATACCAGGTCAGGTCACAGCGAGGTCAGGTCACCGGGGGTCACAATATGAATCATGAATGTGTCGTGTGATACATGTTTTATGGTCCATTTTACATGACAAATGCGATTATGTGGGTTAGGCAGCCTTTGGGGCCAGCCTAGGTCACGTTTTTGTGAAGGTCAGGTCAAGGTCAGGTCAAATTAGGTCAAATTTCAAAGTTGATATTTTGCATAAAATGGGTATCGATTCGATGCAGCTCGTCACGGGGAGTCTAATGGTGGTCTTCGTTTTGCTCTACGAGTTCTAGAATTGCCAAAAATTGAGTTTGACAATTTGACGTCATCATTTTTGAACAGTTTTTTCGCTATAACTTGGCCAAAAAACGAGGTATCGATCTGAAATTTGGTATGTAGATAGAAGACGGTAGGCACTATCACATATATTCCGTTTTTTCGAAACTCAAAAAAAAAATTTGGATTTTTTGGCGAATATATAAAAAAATGCTTTTTTGATTTTTTGGGTTCAAAACTCAAAAACTTCAAAAATTCGAGATAGCAGTTTTGTAGCCCTGTCAATTCTACACCTTTTATGTCGTGATCATTTTTCTGTATCTTCAAAGCTGTAGTCCTGACAGGTCTTCTCGCGAAGGTCTGTTTTCGGTCGAAAATGACAGAACATGACGTCTCTCTGACGTCATTTGTGGCCAACCTATCATAGCCTCTGGAAAAATTTTTGGTCACAATGTGTAAAATTGATGCCCGGAGGGGTCCTGAAAGTTTGGTGGCGATATCTCCAGCCGTTTAGGAGATATCGACCGAAAAGGACAGGGGGGGGGGCGTTTCGGCCCCCCCCCCCTACGGGGCGCGGGTTAACGAGCCGGTTAGTGAACGGCGACAAAAAAATATTGACCGTCCTGCTGTCTTCGTTTTAAAAATCCTATTTGATGCCGGGCTGCCCCCTCTCATGACCTGTTTACGTCGTTCAGAAGGTCTCTTCACAGTAGGATTATGGCGGAACTTTGCTTCGTTGTGATTTTACGCGTCACGCACACGAGTGATTGGCGCCCACTAAGGCAGACCAATGAGCGCTCGACTGGTGAACCCTAGCGGCGCCGGTATCCGCCTGGGGCGGGGGACGGGGTCAAGGCGAGCGATACGAGCATGACCTCTGGTCAGCCTCCACCTGTTTTAACCCAGTTGTCAGCCGCTGGTGCCTGCGTCATATAGCAGTTTTCCTCCTACCGCTGTCGTAGAATCGTGTTACACCGTACTTTTTATGATACAGGCCATGACCTCACTGCTGGGGTCCTCAAACTGAATGGAATAGTTCGCAGAGCCGGCGCAGCCCATGACGCGATACTTTCAAGAGAGACTATACCTTCCTGACATGGTGAGAGGTGTTGAATACATAGGTTTTAAGCAGGTTTATACACATGTTATAAGTGCTAGTTAGATGCTAATTAGGTGTTAAGTAAGGCTGGAAAAGTGTGTTACAAGTTATCTGGTGAATCAAATGTTAAGTCTGTGCCAACTAGGGCACCAAAATAAATTGTATTGAAAAAGCATATTCAAAACTAGCTTAATCTGTCCTTGCCCAACCTTTCAACTACCTGACACCTATGTAACTCCTACAAACATTCACACCTACACAGGTAACTGTTACTGGAAGATGACACCCAGGAAGGTGCTTTACTTGAGAAGCACCTTGATACCCATCAAAAGAGGTGCTGTCATGCTTATTTCAGCAATTCCAGGCTGTAACATCAAACATGGTGTATGGTCAATGGTGTCTGACATGCTTGCCTTGAATATATCCTTGTCTTCATTGCTGTGCTGTTGCTGCTTCTTTTATGCATATTTTCTAACTTCATGGAAAGTTTAATGCTGTTTTACATTTCAGGTTGAAAATACCCTGAAAAATGGCAGAATCATCATCTAGTGAGAACAAGTCTGAGCCTGAAGATGCAGGACCAGTACCATCTGGTGGAATTCATGCTATCAAAGAGCATGTTTCCAGGGATTTGACATCATTTATCATGTACTGCTCTAGGATCTTCCAGATTCTGGCTGCCATGGCATACCTGGTACCAATCATATTGTAAGTACCCACTACATATTTGTGTCCACTGTCTACCTTATTTGTCCTCCTTGTGCACCAGATGTTTTGCTGGTGCATGAGAAATGCACTCATTTTTGCTAGATAGCCATCACCTGTTTGAAGTTGGAGAGCCCAGGCTTTATGCACTCCATTGCTTGCTGTGTTTGACTCAGGAATTTTAATAGGATCTTAACTTCATAACTCTGATTGGATGGTCTGTGGCAGGGCAGTCCATACTAGCCTGTGTTTGATATAACCTTTGAGGTTACGGGTTGTGCTCTTGGAATCTTAATTTTCAATTTCCAAGGTCAGGAATAATGTACTCTTGTTAGTTGTTATATGTGTTTCATCATCCATAAACTCATAGCTTTCCAACTTTGTGATATAACCACATGATTCCTTTTTTTGGTACAGCAATGGTTTCCACCCTGTTTGTGCTCACTGCTCACCTACCTGTTTCACCAATTCATCATCCACTCTGCATTTATCGTAACATGTATTCCCCTAATTTCAAATTCGTATAGGACACTGGGTAGGCTCAAACTTGCGGAATGCGATTCGTGCGCCTACCTACTGTTTATTGAGTGAAATGCATTTTTCCCCTGTAACCCGGGTGTATCTTGTTTCCTCGTTGATAATTTATTCCTCGTGTCACAATACCGTCATGCTAGAAGTGTTAAATGTAGTTCAAATGTCTGATAGCCAATGTCATATCTCTGTCTTCGTGGATACACAACATACAGGTACGAGGCTCAAAATATGTATTACTCGATATGTCACGGCTGTAAGCCGCTACAAGTAGTAACTACATATGGCACATATCAACGGCAAAGTCACGATGAGCACACATAATGCAGTAGCTAAGCGATAGTCGTCCTCACGTAACTGCTTCTGGAAGAGTTAGATTGTTACCATTTTTTTCAGCGGAATTAGAGTTACCTACGCCAATCTAACAGCGAAAGTTGTTGTCGCACAAAAAGAACAAGTTGGGACGTTGATTGCTTTTCTACAGATATGCAGGGGTATGCATGCGCATCAAATCAATGTATTCATGAAAATGCTCGGCAAGGGTGCGCATTCCGCACTGATAACGAGGAAGGTCGCACTGCTCAGTGCTCATGCGCCGATGCAAATTCTCAAAAGACGCCAAGGTTGACTCTTGGCAGCGCTTGCGAGGAGCACGACACGATTGGATTCTCCCTTTCGTCAGG